GGTTCTCTTGTCCCAGGTGCAAGACACTGCGCCTGGATTTGTTGAACCTGATGAGGTTTGTCTGTGCCCGCAGCTCAAGCCTGTCTAGGTCCCCCTGGCTGGCGTCCCGTCCCTCTGGCGCGTCACTGCTCCCCACAGCTTGGTGTCGTCAGCAAATTTTCTGAGGGTGCGCTCGATCCCGCTGGTGATGTCACTGACGAAGATATTGAAGAGTCTCAGCCCCAGCATGGACCCCTTTGAGATGCCATTCATCACCGATCGCCATCCAGACACGGAGCCGTTGGCTCCTGGACTCGATCCTGCAGCCGGTTCTTTGTCCATTGAACAGTCCGCTCACCGAATCCGTGTCCTTCCAATTTGGAAAGAAGGATGTTGCGGGGTATTGTGTCAAAGGCCTTACTGAAGTCCAGGTGGATGATATCAGTGGTTCTTCACTTGTCTGTTGATGCAGTGACACCATCACAGACAGCCGCTAGATTGGTCAGGCAGGATTTACCCTTGGTCCTCTGGGTGCTCCAACAGGTCCCTGTCTCTTCTGCACTAAGGACTCTACATCTGGACACGATCCCTAGATATGGGATTATGCAGAATATAGTCTCAGATAAGGGAAACCACTTTACTTCACAAGTCCTACAGGAGCTAATGAGAACTTTAGAAATAAAGTGGGAGTTCCATACTCGCCGGCACCCTCCTTCTTCAGGGAAAGTAGAATGAATCAATCAGATGCTGACAAAGCGCTTGTCAAAATGGATTTTAGAGACCAAATGACCACGGACAAAGCGTTTACCTGTAGCCCTTCTCAGAATACAAACCGCTCCCAGAAAAGACTTAGGAGTATCACCGTACAAAGTGCTGTTTGGGTTGCTGTACTTGGGAGGGAGAGGTGAGATGCCCGCTCTTGAAACCAAGGATAAGTTTCTGAAGAACTATATACTTGGGTTGTCTGCTGCTCTGTTATCCCTCATGGATCATGGACTGTTGTCTCCAACTCCACCTCTGGAATTTCTAGTGCCCTTATTCCATGCTGGAGGCTGGGTCCTAACACACACGTGTAAG